AGCAGTACTGCCCCCGCTGAGCTCCCAGGACACAATACTGTACAAGCCCGGGGCACATTCCTCACTCTCTCTGTGTGTGTGTGTGTGTGTCTGTGTGTGTGTCTGTGTCTGTGTGTGTGTGTGTGTGTCTGTGTGTCTCTCTCTGTGTGCGTGTGCGTGTCTGTGTCTGTGTCTGTGTGTGTGTGTGTGTTCGGTGCATTAGTATTCCTGTGTTCAGACCGCAGGGATGAACAAAAGAGAGGAGAGGAGGAGAAAAGCGAGGGATGAAGTGTGAGAGGAAGGGCGAAGGAGCGTCTAAAAGTGCTGAATCGAGACGGCTTCTGCATGCCATTAATTCAGTCCTTCATCTGCACAGATTTATTTCACTTTCTCCTTCCCTCCTCACGGCTTTCAGTCTTTCTCCTGTGAAGGATCAGATCGTCATCAGGGTGACCTTAGACAGGTCCCTGCGCAGTGTGCACACTCCATAGGGCACAACTCTAGTGCACCTGACAAACCATCATGCAAATAAATATACCTTGATGTCATACATATTTTAAATGTTATAACCTTTATGAATTTATTTGTTTATACATTTATATTAATGTAAAGGAACATAATATGTTAATTGTTATTATTAGTAAAATGTTTAATTTGTCATAAGCTAAACTCAGTTTAGTGGTAAATGACTATTGCAGTTTTTAATATATTAAATATATTTTAATATTTTGCATGAAATTGTTATTCATTTGACATGAACGTGAAATGCCAAAAAAAAACAGCTTATTATTTTACATCAGCAAGACGAACTAAAACTGCAATAAAAACTATATTTAAAAACACACACATACACAAAGCAAAATTAAAATTCAGAAAATATAAAAATAAAAACCAAAACCAGTTCAAAATATAAATAGAAAACACTATCTCAGTGACACTAAAATAACACTGATTTGATTTCATTTACGTTGTGTATTTTAACTGAACACAAAACAATTTTCTTTAGAATAACGTGCACTGATGAATCATTCACAATGTTATTAATAATTAATGTTGAAAAAAAAAAAACATATACTGAACACGCATACATACATAAATATATTTAGAATATTTATGACAGTCCAGTGTTACTTTAGTGTCACTGAGAAACTTAGAATTAGAATTTTAGATTTTTTTGTTAATATTCTTAAATAGATTTAATTTTATATTTTCCATTTTCACTACTTTCACTTTTAAATTAGCACTTTTTTGTTTTATCAATATAGATAGATAAAAAAAAAATAGATATGCTGAACTTTATTACATTGAAAACATTGTGGATATTGAATAGCTTTTCTTTATTCGCATTTGACTCTTTTATGACTCTGAGCTCAGTCGCTGTGAAAGTCAATAAGGAGTGTTTGTTTGTTTGTTTGTTTCCAAGGTAACAGACATGATGCTGCAGGACACTCATTATCCGGACTGGGGCCGGAGCGCCAGAAACTTGTGGAGACGGGGGCACAACCGCATTGTTTTGTTCTGGTGAGATGATCATGTGATCCCGTCAGAAACAACCAATCAGAATCGAGACTGAAGCTGTATACGCTCCAGCCTCAGAAGGGAAGAACAAACGCCGTGTATGGAATCGGTGATTAATAAAATAGGTTTCATGTGTCTCAATCAAAAGATTTACTAACATTTGGCATTTGGCGTTAAAATAGTACTGTCAGGATTTAGTGAAGAATTAGGCGTGGACAGTTATTTTTGTGCCTGACTTTATTTGCATTTGTAGGAGTGTAATGTATGGGAGGAGAGTATTAAAATAAATCACGCAATGTGGTTTACTAACATTCGCGCTCGTCAAATTACTGGTATTTGTGCTATTATTTAACACCCAAAAAAGCACGTCTTAAACTATTTTGCACCTGCGTCGTAAGTCGCATCGGCTCTGCTTATTTGCGACTACGCTAATTTGCGCTGTGCTTGGTATATTGCGTTGGTCGATATGCAAATGAGATGTTAATCGCGTCTGTGTTCTTTAATTTGCACGTTGTCAGTCCCATCGGTGCTGTTTTGGAATTGCGCTCTCGAGCTAATTTGCCCTGTTTAGTAAATCTTTAGCCCTTTTAGTGGTAAATGGCTATTGCAATTTTTAGTATGCAATTATTTAAAAAAAAAATTTAATATTAAATATAGTTTAATATTTAATATGCAATTTATAATTTGATTTTATTTACAAGATGTAGATTTAGTTGTAAGCAAAAATTAATTTTCTTAAGAAAAACGTGCACCAATGAATCATACACAATAACGACATTATAAAGAAATAATTTAAATGATTAAATAAAGTTTAAAAATAAACAAATATGCTAGCAGATTTTGAATCATAAATAAGTTTAATGAAAAAATTACACAAACACATTACAATGCCATTTTTGCAGTTTTAGTAGTCACATTAAATTATAATTATTATTAAAATATTTTTTATTATAATAATTATTAATATGTAATAATATTATTTTTTATAAATAATACTTTAATTATGTATTTATTAACATATTGATTCTATTTTATAATTATAATGTAATAATATTATAATTATTAATATAATGTTAATTTGTCATAATCGAAACTAAATGTAGTAGTAAATGGCTTGCTGTTTTTAATATGCAGTTATTTTAAATATATATTTTAATATTGAATCATTTTAGTTTTTAATTATTTGTTAATAAGTTTAACAGTAATTAATAATATATTTTCATGTATTATTTATGAATATTTGATCATTATAATTACTGTAATTCCTTGTGAATTTGAATAATTCTAATTATATTTTAATATTTAATATGCAGTTTGTTAATTATTTACAGTGTTTAATTTGAACTGTGAACAAAAACATTTGTTTCCTTTCGAAACACGTGCACCGATGAATCTTTCACAATAAGCACATGATTAAGATATATGATAAATAAATAAATAATATGATTAAAGCAAGTTCAGTGCAGGTTTATGCACCCAAAACAGCAGCCCTGCTCATAAAAGGAGGATTTCGAGACGAGGTTTTGATGAATAATGTGTGCTTTTAAAGCCTCTGGTCAATGTAAACATGATTATCTTACATTAGGAAGGAGACTTGAGTGTGTGTTTGCTGTCATTATGGGTTGAATCCTCTGAAAATATCCTTAATATGGGAATAACAAACGCCGTTAAACTGTGTGTGAGTTAATAATGTTATTTTAATGCTTGTTTCCATTATCAGCACGTTTAATTAAAGACTCGCGCAGCAGAAAATCGATCAGCGCCGCTGCGTTTGTACACGTTTTGTCGAACACACACTTTGACCCTGAAAACACACTCGACAACACGACCTCTGACCCCGATGCACATCACAGCCTTTACTAAAGCTTACTTCGTTCATTCTCACTATATCTGCATTTCTTCAGTATTATAATATATATAAATCCATGGAACAAGATTAATGTACTTTAGAAGCAAGAGTGTGTGAGATATTAAGAGCTAAAACAGAGACAAAAATACTAATTCAAAACTTTTTTTTTTGCAGTTCCAGTAGTTTGCATTCATATTGTATTAATATAAATTATTAATATAGTATATTTGTTTTATTATTAATGTAATGTTTAATTTGCCATACATTTTTGTGGTAAATGAATATTGCAATTTTTAATATGCATTATTTAAAAAATACATATTAACGATATTTTAATATGCATTTTTAATAATTAAAATGATTTAATTTACAAGTTGTAATTTTAACTGTAAATTAAAATTAATTTTCTTTACAAAAACATTGCACTGATGAATCATTCACAAGGGCAGCATTATGAAATGAGTAATATTATTAAAGAAAGTTTTAAATTAAACAGATGTAGTGAACTTTGGAGAATTATTGTGAAGAATAAACTAATTAAAACCACGTGGAAAAATCTCCCAGCGCAGTAAGACAGTAAAATGTCATTTTTGTCGTTCACATTCATATTGTATTAATATCATATCTTTAATTAGTCAAAATCAAAATTAAATTTAGTGGAAGATGACTGTCGCAATTTTTAATATGAAATAATTTTCAAAAATGCATATTTAATATATATTTTATAACAGTTTGATTGTTGATTGCCATTTTAACTGTAAACAAATTTATTTTATTTTTTTATAAATAAAAAAAACAAGTACAAAAAAAGACTCAAAAAAAAAATCTGCAAGTGAAGACATAAACAAACAAACAATAATTCAAAACTCATTAAAGTGTTTTTTGCATTGTCAGTTGTTCTCATTCATATATTAATATACATTATTAATATAATTTTAGTTAATTTGAAATGTATTAAAGTTTATTTTATTGTTAATAAAATTGTAATATTACCATGATATTATATTATATATATTATATATATTGCCACATTGACGTCCTTCGGGCTTGCCACATTAACGTCCTTCGGGTTTAAGTGAGCCGCGGACGGCGGCGGACTGGTTCTGGCTCGGGACCGGACACTCCCCAGACACCGGAAGACACCTTCCCTCCAACTTAGTCCAGTGGTGTCTGGGAGGTCCACGGGGCGATGGTAGTTGGCCCCGAGCCAGAACAGCTGATTAAGGACGGCGTCCTCTAACGCCGTCACCGCTGCGAGCTTGCAGAACTCCCCGCGTACTCGTAGAAGGGGAGATCCCGGCGGGATATGGCGAGGAAACGAGCAGTGATCTCCATGTTGTTGTTCTTGGGTCGGTTATTCTGTCACGGAACCGGGTGTGTGGAGGCAGGCAGGACGACGAGGACGACAAGGATTCCAATAATGACATTTATTGTAGACACAACAAGGCAGGTTCAGGTAGGTGAGACACACAATCGGGGTAACATTAACAATAACCGCCAATGCTCAGACAGACAGGAACTAATATGTGGTGGATAATTAGTGGCAGACAGGTGAGCACAATGAGGGTAATTAATGATTAGTACGGGCTAAACCAACACAAAGGGAAGAAACCACAACAAACAGTCCACAGGGGCGTTACAGATATATAAATATTATATTATATTATATTATATTATATGATGTTATGTTATGTTATGTTATGTTATGTTATATTATATTATATATTATATTATGTTATGTTATGTTATGTTATATTATATTATAATGTTTAATTTGTCAAAATCAAAACTCAATTTAGTGGTAAATGGCAATTGCAATTTTTTATATGAAATAGTTTTCAAAAATGATATTAAATGTGTTTTAATAATTATTATGCAATTTCTAATATTTCATGTGACTTAATTTGATTTTGTTAATTTACAGTATGTAATGTAAATGTAACTGTAAACAAAAATGTATTTTCTTTAGAAGAACATCCACTGATGAATGATGATTACGAAATAACTCTATTTATTTAAAAAATTAAAAAAACTTTTTTTATTTAATGCGAGTGTATTTTGTTTCACTGCTCTGACAGATTAGCAGTATAGAAACGTTAGAAACCGTGCAGTAAACACGAATTACAAGCTCATTTTCGCAGTGTGTCAGTACTTGATGTTTTTCTGTACCTGGTGACTTTATGTGAAGCAGCAGATCCAGCGTCTCGCTCTTGTAGCTTTGCAGTTTTAAGCTGCGTGTGAAGAAGCACTGACTCCGGATCAGTTCTGACTCTTCGGTGTCTGATGAACGAGCTCACAGTGACGTGAAGAGCTGATCTGGTGTCTGTATTATTCAGTGAATCCATCAGAAGTGCATTACGCTCGTCCTTTATTAATGCACGCTCTGCCAGCGGCTCCATCCTTCAGTAAACAGCAGCGAGAGATCGTACGCTGATGAAGGACAGACGACTGACACACTACCAGTCAAAGTCTGCAGTAATTACCATTGTTAATGCTTTTGAAAGAAGTCTCTTTTGCTCAGGAAGGATGCATTGATTGGATCAAAAATACAGTAAAAGCAGTATAACTGTGAAATATTATCACAATTTAAAATAACTGTTTTTCGTATTTGAATATGTTTTAAAATGTAATTTATTCCTGTGACAAATTGTATCTTTATTTTTTTGTTTTGCTTGTAAATCATTTGAATTCATGCATTTTTTGCTTTGGATTTTTATTTTATTTTATTGACTTTTTAACAGTCACGTCATTTTATTTATTAGATTTACTTAAATGCATTTTATTTATTCATTCATTTTTTTCCCAGAGATGTTGACTTTCTTTCTTTCTTTCTTTTTCTTCTTGAATTTTTCAACAACATATTTTATTTTCACCGCTACTTTTCAACCATTACATTTTCTTTGTTTAATATATTATTTATTTATTTTCATTTTCAGCTGCCACGTCTAAAATTTGATTTTTTTTTTTATTATTATTATTTTAAATTAAGGCATTTCTGTTGTATTTTATTCAATGTTTTTTTTTTATTATTAAATTTAAATTTCAGACGTCTCACTCAAATCAATTTATTGATTAGTTCATCTTTTTACTTTTTATTATTTTAAAAAGTACTGATCTTGCCTTTTTCAATGCTTTTTATTTTTATTTTGTTTTATTTTATATTTTATTTACTTGACTTCTCAGCTGTTACAACTCACATTTTATTTATTTATTTATTTTGTTATTATTATATTGTATTTGTTTTTGTATTTACTTTTTTTTTTTTTTTTACTTTTCAACCATCCTATCTCACATCATTGTATTTATTAGTTTGTTTTAACTTTTTAAAAAAATATATTTATAAAAAAAAAATTAAAAAAAAGAGTTAAAAACAGTTGTGCTGTTTCATATTTTTGTGGAAATCATGATAGACTACCATTCAAAAGTTTGGTGTAAGTAAGATGTTATGCTTGTATTCATCAAGAACATATTAAATTGATTAGAAGTGACAACAAAATCATGTGTAGTGTTACGAAAGATTTCTATTTCAAATAAACACTGTTCTTTTGAACTTTCTATTCATCTGTGAATCCTGAAAAATAAAAAGTATCACAGTTTCCACAGAAATATCGGGCAGCACAACTGTTTTCAACATTGATAATAATCAGAAATGTTTCTTGAGCAGCAAATCAGCATATTAGAATGATTTCTGAAGATCATATGACACTGAAGACTGCAGTAATGATGCTGACAATTCAGCACTGCATCACAGGAATAAATTACATTTTAATATATATTCACATAGAAAAGAGTTACTTTAAATTGTAATAATATTTTAAAAATTGTACTGTATTTTTGCTCAAATAAATGCAGCACTGGTGAGCAGAAGAGACTCTCTCAGACTCATTGATCAGGTCTCTCTGAGCTGGTAGTGAGTGAGTGCTGCTGTGTGTGTTTGTCAGGACGGTGCTGTTCTCTCTGACCTCTGTGGTGGTTCTGGTCATCAGTACGGACTGGATCAGGTGGGATAACCTGAACCGCGGCTTCTTGCCGAGCGACGAGGTCTCCACACTCACACACACACACACACACACTCACACTCACACACACAATCGCAGGTTCATCTGGTGTCTGGAGATTCTGGCCAGAGCTTCTTAAAGTGGGTTATTCTCATGTGAACCCGTCTTCATTTCCCTTTAAATCCAGCTTTAATCCGTTTAGGAGATAAAAAGTAAAGGTTATTGTTTTCATTTTAAAATGTTCACGTTTTCTTCCCTTCAGATGGATGTTTGTACTGAGGTTTTCACCTTTACTTTTTCAACGTCATTTCTAACATCACTCTGTTTGTTTATTTACTTCAAATTTCAGTGTTTAATTTTTTTTACAATCTCATCTCACATTCTTTTATTTATTAGTTTGTTTTAACGTAAATGTATTTTTTCCCCAGAGGTCTTGACTTTCCTTCTCTCTTTTTTATTTTTTTACTTTTATTTTATTTTATTATTTTATTTTATTTTATTTTCAACTGCTATAGATCACATTCAATATTTTTGTTTTAAATTATTTTCAATTAATGCATTTTCTTTTGTATTGTATATTTATTTCATTTTCATTTATTTCATTTTCATCTGTCCCACCTCATATCAATATTTTTATTAGTTTTAGCTTCTTTTAAATTAATTTTTTTCCCAGATGTGTCGACCTTTCCTTTTTCAAGGCTGTCATTTTTATATTATTGACTTTTATTGACTTTTCAGCTGTCATCTCACATTATTATTTTTTTTGTTTAAAATTATTTTAATTAATGCATTTTTCTTTTGTATTATATTTTTATTCAATTTTACTTTAATTGTCATCTGTCCCATCTCAAATCAATTTATTTATTAATTTTAGCTTTTTTATGTATTTTTTTCCCAGAGGTGTTGACCTTGTCTTTTTCAAGCCTTCATATATATTTTTTTAATTTACTTGACTTTTCAAATGTCACATTCTGCATTGTTTTACGGTGGCCGAGAGATTTGCGCTGCAAATAGAAAAAACACCTGCAAATTAAGAAAACAACTTCATCAATTTGACAACACACTTGCTGCAAGTATTCACAACTCAACCAAATAAAGAAACTCACTGCAAATAAAATTCTTTATTTGGTTGTGTTGTGAGCATTTGCAGCACCTGCTGTCAAACTGATGAAGATGTTTTCTTGATTTGCTGGTGCTTTTATTATTTACAAGTGTTTTCTGAAGTTGCAAGTTCTGAAGTAGGTATTTTTCTGTTACATTGATTTATTTTAATCTATTTTTGAACAATCTCAGCTCGTATCATTTTATCTATCAGTTTATTTGAACTTTTTTTTATTTTATTTGGAATATTTTTTTGTTGACCTTGCCTTTATCATCCATCACGTCTGTCATTGTTTTATTTTTCCTCCAGCTTCTCTCGACCAATCAGAAGCCTTGCTGAAATCACAGTCTGTCTGTGTCTGATTACAGTGTCTCAATCACTTACCTGTGTTGGCTCAAATATGTTGACATTCACTGTCTGATTGTAAGTATTCCCTCAGTCTCAGTCCATTATCGTTACGTGTCTGTATCTGCGTCTCTCAGTCTCTTCATCTCCTCATCTCCACATGCTAGATATTTCACCTCACTTTTGTCCGCGTTCGCTCCATGTGATGGTTAATCTCTATGACGTGCCTGATATTTTATTCAGTGCCTAATTAACTCAGAGCCGACGGGATTTACAAGCTCTTTCATTTCAACCTCTTTCATTGGTTTCATGCCACGTAATTTAAGCTTTATTTTGTGGAACACAGTTATCATGGACGTCAATGAGGCGAAACGATGAGCAGCACCGTAATTACGCGGATCCTCGTTAACTCTCCAGCAAGTCACATAGAAATCAAAGACTCTCCGTTTGGTAAACACAAAGCTTAATTGCCAAGAAACTACATTATTCTATATTTCTGCTGCTTAATTTGGTTTGTTTCTGCGTTTGTCCTGGAGCTGCAGGCCGCGGCATCTGTCTCAGATCCTTTTATACATTATCAAAGTTTTATTGATTTCGCTCTGACTGTTGTCGAGAGGAGAACGGCCGGATCAGATGCCGCTTCGGGCTGATGTTCGGTGACGCTGGGATCTCAGCGCAAACTTTAGACGCCTCACAATTCATTTCTGATCTCTTAGAAATGTCAGAGAGGAAAGAACAACAGAGACCATGAGAAATGAGCCAGACTTCTGAACTCACACAGAAAACACACTCACAAACACAAACACATGCATAAACACACTCACAAACACATGCATACACACACCCACAAATACAAACACACTCAAATACAAACACATGCATAAACACACAAATACAAACACACTCACAAACACATGCATAAACACACTCACAAACACATGCGTACACACTCACAAACACGTGCATAAACACACTCACAAATACAAAAACACTCACAAACAAATGCATAAACACACAAATACAAACACACTCACAAACACATGCATAAACACACTCACAAACACATGCATACACACACACAGACACATATAAACACTCACAAATACAAACACATGCATAAACACACTCACAAATACAAACACACTCACAAACACATGCATAAACACTCACAAATACAAACACATGCATAAACACACTCACAAATACATAAACACTCACAAACACATGCATAAACACACACTCACAAACACATGTGTAAACACTCACAAACACATGCATAAACACATTCACAAACACACTTACAAACACATGCATAAACACACTCACAAACACAATCACACTCACCATCAAACACATGCATAAACACACTCACAAATACAAACACTCACAAACATGCATAAACACTCACAAACACAATCACACTCACAAACACACGCATAAACACACTCACAAACACATGCGTAAACACACTCACAAACACATGCACAAACACTCAAAAACACATGCATAAACACTCACAGACACATGCATAAACACTCACAAACACAATCACACTCACAAACACATGCATAAACACACTCACAAACACATGCGTAATCACACTCACAAACACATGCACAAACACTCAAAAACACATGCATAAACACTCACAAACACATGCATAAACACACACACATACACACACACACTCGTTTCATTCTTTCATGTTTAGTGTCTTTGTATGGTCATGCTAGAAGGATATCCTCCATCGTGCTCCTTCATTTTGAGTGTACCATAAGATGGCATGCCAGAAAAAGGTCACTCTGTGAGGTCTTTGGTGTGAGTGCATATCATAGTCTATAAGCTCCTCAAAAACACTTGTAGTCCAGCACCATACCAGAGACTTGGCTTTTTGCAAAATCAAATGGACAGCGTCTTTAGTGTATCCTTTTATACCTAAATGACACCGTTTCAACCCTAGTTTGAAAAAGCCGTCAGACACGAGTCGCTCTTAGATGCAAAGCTCTTTACCAACAGAACTCTGTAATAAATAAACAGATTTCGCTGGAGTTATTGCCTTCGTGTTAGATTGTCATCTTTGTCAGGATACCTCGATGTGCTCCATGCTACCAGAGAAACTGGATTGCTTGCCCAGCTTCCCAAATTCCTCGCTGCTTTGCGTTGTGTTAATACCCTCTTCGAACTCCATCTGGCAGCTGCGGCGCTTGTACTTCGTGTCCATTTGCTGCGTACACACACACAAACACATGCGTAAACACTCACAAACACAAACACACTCACACTCACAAACACATGCATAAACACACACACAAACACACTTACAAACACATGCGTAAACACACTCACAAACACATGCATACACACACCCACAAATACAAACACACTCAAATACAAACACATGCATAAACACACAAATACAAACACACTCACAAACACATGCATAAACACACTCACAAACACATGCGTACACACTCACAAACACGTGCATAAACACACTCACAAATACAAAAACACTCACAAACAAATGCATAAACACACAAATACAAACACACTCACAAACACATGCATAAACACACTCACAAACACATGCATAAACACACTCACAAACACACTTACAAACACATGCATAAACACACTCACAAACACATACACACTCACCATCATACTCTAGC